CGGCGTCTGGCTGCCAGCCGAGCCTGTTGCCCCCCACCCCCTTTTTTTGGCATCGCCAGTGTCGCTGGCGCAGGGCAGGAGCGGCCAGTTTAGTTGGCCTGGGCTCGCACTCGAACAAAGTTGTGACCTCCCAGCGGCTGTTTGACGCGTAATGTGATGTTTTCAAGATACGTCATCGGAAAGTGGGGTGCTTTCAGCTCGCATGCGTATGAAAGTTCCTAATTGTAACGATATCGCCTAAGTGCGGCAATTGACCCGGCTGCCGATAGCCGCAGCTGACGGACGACGAACTAATGGCATGCCGCCTGAAAACTGAAATTGCCCCGCAAGCGGGAGGCCTTTGACTGATGAGTCGCGCCGGTGACCGACGTCGTTCGATAATTGCGACGTTTTGCGAAAATGACCAGTAAATGCCGAAGGCTGTTGCGTGACCCGCCCGTGTCGCGTGCGCGCTGTTGGTAACGGACCGAGCGGCGCGCCGGCGAGGGTGTAGTGAGAGATGTTTTGTCGACACCGGCGGCACTGCATGGAGAAGGAACGGGGCCGCAATAGCCAGACGGTGACGAATTGAAGGATGATATGCTGTCCTAGTTATACAAATTTTAAGTTGGGTGTACTGATGTTTGTGTTGGTTTTTATTGCCTGTTTCTTCTCATAGTTGTCACGCAAGCTTAAACTGCTGGTGAGCTACCAGGTGCGCAGTGTTTACCGTACATGGCAAGTCGACGTTCTCAGAACCTTGGCAGTGTCCTGAGTCGTGGTCGGATCTTGGGAGGCTTCCATCTGACCTCCGCTCTCGTCCTACGCTCCTGTTGAGGGACTTGAAATGTTCGTGGCGCCGATAGCATCGCGTGTGACGTCCGAGGGGCCGCTGTCCGCGCGCGCGGCGCCTACGCGACCTGGTGTGTCCCCGGAGCCCGTGGTTTGGTATGACTGTGGAGCCCTCGCCACACGCCAGTGTACGTCCGAACTGACGCGTGTCCGTGGAACTTATGGCGTCACGCGTGTCGTTTGTTGGACTCACCGTCGCACGCGGCCGTGGCGTAACCTGATGTGTCCGTGAATGTGTCCTGAGGAGCCTGCGACGTCAAGCATGATGTGTGTTGGATCCGCGTGTCGTATGCACTGTCTGGGCTTTGGACACAATGTGTCCGTTGAGCATGTGATGTTGACCATGAGGAGTGTTGGCCCCATAGGATGTGCAGCGTCCTCGTGGCTGGGACCTGGTGTGTCGGTGGAGCCCGTCATGTCAGTGTGAGGCCCGTCAGGCCTGTGGTACGGGCCGCGGTGTCCGTGCCACCCGGCCTCCACGGCAGGCGCGAGGTCGTCCGGTGACCGCCGGCCCGTGCGGCGCCGCAGGACCTGTTCGCGGCGCAGACGTACGGCGTGCTGTACCCGGCCGACCGGCTCAAGGTGGACGTCAACCCGTCGGGCGTGGTGATGGTGCGCTGCGGCGCCGTCGCCGGCCGCGGCTTCGGCCGGCCGCCGGCGCAGCGGCTGACGCCCGGCCGCCGGCTGCCGCTCGCCCCGGACGCTTCTTCTGAGGTGCGCGCCCCCCTCTGCTCTGAGACGGGCGGGCGGGCGTTTACGGTGGGACTGGGTGTGGGAGGGTGGGGTTGTTCTGGCGGGGTCGCGTACACTGCGGGTCCGTGCGGAAATGGAAGGGTTCTATCTGTCGTACTGTGGATCAGCAGGGAAAAGCAGGGGTCCAGGGGCTGTCTGTTGGTCTGAGAATGACAGGTGATATTGACGCTGCTCGGTGAGATCGAAAGGCGTGCACTCTCAGTCGGTTTTGGAGCGAAGCTCGCGAACTTCCGATCCTGCAGAAGGATTCTCTGTCTCCTGATCTATCAACTGGTTCACACGACATCGTCCGGAGAGGGTGAAAGATAGCACGGCAATCATAAAAGTCGCTTGAAGACGCGCATCGGGTCTTACTGCATTCACTACGGACCACCTTTAGCGCTGTTGGGCCCAGTAGCCGATATGCGTCCTCCCCAACTGTCACGGCACGCTGCCCCAATGTGACCTCGAGCCCATCCACAACCCCCAACTGTCACGGCACGCTGCCCCAGTGTGACCTCGAGCTCATCTACAACTGCCGCCCACGCAGTCGGTGACAGTTGCGCCTCGAGCCCACCCACAGCCACCACCCACGCAGGGATGGGAAAATCGAAACGTGTCAATAATGCTATCTTTTCGCAGGGACTGCCATTGTCGGAGACATAACGGATGAGATTCGTCGGTTGTAAGGTAAATCGACGGCATTTTTTGTGCAGCTGTTTCTCATTTCATGTGGACTGAAATAGTTATTTTTGATTATTTGCATTAAACTATTACGTTTCGTGTGCACGGTTTTAATATCTTGTCATCACTTTCGTAGAATAACTACTGCCATCGATTTTTTTACGTCAGGCTCGAAGTTCGGTTTCGATGGTTATTAATGCGCAAAAATCTTTTGCTTTTCAAAAGCACAAAACGAAATCATTTCGGGGTGTTTATGCGTTACTGCGCGTTCATCTTTTGCCAGGAAATTGGTGTACATTTTTGGTGTCAAATGTCGTTCTGTTTGTAGCGGTGGTGTAACTGAAAATGTTATAGCGCGTGCATGCTCTGCGATGACGTCATGCATGCACAAAGGAGGTCAGTATTGCTTCATTGATTCAGCAGGCTTTGAAAACGCGCCGTGCTATTTTATGTTTATTTCACGTCGGGACTATGCGAGACCATGCGAACTCAAAGCATTCAGAACGGCGCTCCTGTTAATGCACCCTCAATGGTTGATTTGACCGCAGTAATGGTCTATTGTCACCCAACGAACTGGGTTTCTTCGCCGCCGCGAGTTTCTTTTGTTCGGTCCTGATATGGCCGCCCATTGGTCCGCACAATAAAGGAGCTGTCCTGGTCATGGCGCCTGTTCAGTGGACCTTTGAATGAGTCGTTGTCTGCGATGGAAGCTTGGACTTGTGTATATGCATGGGGTTATACGTACCGTGCCATGCCTGTCGGCACTGTCTCAGCGTGAGCGGGTGTAGTGCCGTGAGCCCTTCCCTGGGCCCTGGGTCTTTCCTTACGAGTGACCGGACAGTTGGCTTCTCCGACTTACAGTACCTTGGAGCTAAACGTGGTAGGAGGGTGATAAAACGCCATTGGACATGTATTGCGAGTCGAATGTGGAAGTAAATAACTCCGTTTTTCATGCGCTGTTGTGAAGATTTTGCACGGCGTTTGTTCGGGCTGCAACGGCACTCGATGCCGCACTCACAAAATTCTGAATTGCGAGCGCAAACAAACGCAGTGCAACGGCATCAGGTTCATCACGTCAAAGTCAGCGATCCACGACGGTCTGGATGTTCATATTTTGGATGATACTTGATCCGACGATATGTCGCCGTCGATGCCGGTCTCGCTCAGTTCGTGCTACAGGACCCAGAGTGCTGAGCAGGCGCCGTCCGCGCGCAGCCTGGTGTCGACCGAACGCTTCACTGGACGCTACTTCAGTCCCCTGGAGAAACTGTCCCGCTCATTGCATTACGTGTGCTGCTTGGTGCTGCGTGGGGGGCGGGTCACCGTTCAGGCAGCGGCTGGGGCGAGGCATGTGGGTGCCGCGCGTGTGCGTGCCACCGCAGCGGTTTGTGGTCGGTCCCGTCCCCTGTCCGCAGTGCGTGCCGCCGCAGCGGTCTGTGGTCGGTCACGTCCGCTGCCCGCAATGCGTGCCGCCGCAACGGTCTGTGGTCGGTCCCGTCCGCTGTCCGCTGTGTGTGCCGCCGCAGCGGTCTGTGGTCGGTCCCGTCCGCTGTCCGCAGTGCGTGCGGCCGCAGCGATCTGTGGTCGGTCCCCTCCGCTGACCACCGTGCCGTGCCTCCACCTGTCACTGCCTGCCTGTCCCCTGTGGGTCTCACGCCGCGTAGTCAGGCCCTGGCCGGGGGGCTCCTCAGCCGGCGGTGTCTGCCGCCGCCTGCCACTGCTCCGTCTGCCGTTGCAGGGCGGCCGGGGAGCGGGCCGTGCCGCCGACCATGCTGTGCTTTGTGCCTTGCCGACCGGCCGGGTGAGACGCGGGCGACCTCGCCAGAGACGGCCCGCCGTGGTGGCCAGCGTCGTCTGAGGCCCCGACGCCGGGCTGGCCGGACGTCGGCTCAGCGCTCTGCTACGGGGCCCGTCGGCCAGAACGGGCGCAGTTTCTGCTCCTGGGTCAGCCAGGCCAGAGCCGGGTCGAGGGGAGGGGGTAGTCGCTCTGGTGGTCCATCGAGATCACCAGCTTGATTGTACGTAGCTAGCGAAGGATTATCATGCTTCTCATCCGCATGTATTGTCTAGGTGTGCTCTGCCGTTGCTCTGTCGTTTGACGTTGGCGCGTATGACTGACGCCAGTCCACCTCCAAGATGGTGCGCTTTGATTGCGTTTTACGGCCCGATTTGAGTTCACCACGAGCGGTAAATTTCCAGATGCAAAGCCGTGTTGACAAATTGTGCATAACGGTGGGTATTTCCTGCGGAGAAAGTTGTGGAGTCCAGCCGTGTAAGGTTTGGCCATTTACCATTGTGGGCAAGGTTTTTAAAACTAAAAAGAACGCAACAAGGCGACACACCCCAGAATATGGCCTGTTTGAAATGTTAATGCGTAGGTGTTCTTGCTATACATTTGAACCGAGTGTGTTTATGAAACCGTATAAGGTTTGGAAGACCACTTGATAATGTCGCCTGTCCTGTGGCGCTTAGGTGCGCGTCTATATGCGTACGGACATTCCCATCACGGTTGTGTTTGATGCTGCAGAATAACTTTGACAAATGCTGCTGTCCTGTGGACCTCGCCGGATGTGAGTGAAGTGAAACAAATTGCCCAAGATGGTGGCGGACTAGACTGGAAGTCGCGTCTAGTTTGCATCAATGTGCGTTTTTCTGCGGAAAGGGGGGCAGTTTGTCGGAGGCATACGTTTGTAGCTTAGTCAGAGGGCGGCCGCCTCGACTCGGCTTTGCCCTGTGTCGATGTAGCACCGTTGCGACCAGTCATCGATGCATCCAAGCTGGCATGGCCTCCAAGGCTTCAGCTTCCCCGAGCGGCTTCCGGGTCAATAACACACAAAACGCTTTGCACCGGATCCGAAATTCGTCGTTGAATCCATTCAAAGGCGTAGACGAGGTCAGAGCCCGCTGAAAACGCGAGCATTTTGAAACCAAGTAAATCTCTTGTGTAAATGCCTCGTCGGTCTGCACATAAATTGTCTTGAGAAACATATGCCACTCATTGCACGACACGTATAACATGCTACGGTAGGTCCTACGACAGCGGTCGTTCACAGACACCTACCGCTCTCTGGCCGGATGCTACGGTAGCTCCTACAACAGAGCGGGTCGTTCACAAACAAACCTGCCGCTCTTTGGCCGGATGCTACGGAAGCAGCTACAACAGAGCGGTTGTTCTCACCCACCTACCGCTCCCCCAGCCCGGATGCTACGGTAGCTCCTACAACAGAGCGGCCGTTCACAACACCTAACCGTCCTCTGGTCCGGATGCTACGGTAGCTCCTACAACAGCGGTCGTTCACAAACGCCTACCGTTCTCAGGCCCGGACGCCATGGTAGCAGCTACAAAAGAGCGGTCGTTCTCAAACACCCTGCCGTTCTCTGGCCCGGTCCGCGACTTCAACCGGAACCGCTCGAGTGGACGGCACCGCGCGAAAACCACACAACCTAACGATTTAGGATGCAGTCAGGACCTGCCTCCCAGGGGGCACGTGACATATCGCTCTTGAACGTCCTCCTCCTTGGAATAAGCGTCATTCATGTGACAGCCTTGTGTAGACAATAATTATGCAACAAGTGGTCGCATCGCAAAACCATGGTGGTGCACATGCATAAATACATCACACCTTTGTTCGCAAGCCACGTAAGCAACATGAAATACGTCTCCCTGATGTATCTCCCACCGTCGATTGCGCATGGGCATTAATAAAAGCAAAACCACACGATTTCACCCAGTGAGGCACTTACATGGATGGCACGTGTCGGCAGACACCTGCAGAGCCACTGTGCACCAAACTTTGCGCTATGATCAAGTGCCTTCAGCTTCGCTGGAAGCTTGTGCTCTGCCAGCAAATGCATGGAAGTATTTGCTACCTTTGTACATGTGCATGGCACAAATATATAGCATGGTTCAATACATGTTTCCGTTTCGACGTAAGCTCCGTGGTGGACTTGAGACATGCCAGAGCAACAACTCACCAGTAGGCTGTTGGCCGCGTAGAAATATTTCATCTTCCATGTGGTGTGTGAAAGGCACCGTGGGTTCGATTATATATAACATCATCTTCGCTCGACATCAGGGTCACCCGGGTCACTAGACAGCCGCGCAACATCAACTCATCATCCTTAAAAGATCCACCGCGGCTAGCTGATCCATACGACGAAGCTAAAATATGTCTAAAATCAGGATCACTAAGTAGTTTCGAAAACTGCACAGCGGACTCTGTGCGAACTTCGATCCCAAAAAGCTGTCCACACACCTCAAACACTCAACAACCGATGCCAAAAGCTGTGGCAGGCCGAGTGGCCGGAGACGCCGACTGCCCGGCGCGCGCCGCATTCGTCCGGGCGGCCGCCAACCCCCGCGGCCCGCGGCAGTTCCGGCGCAGTCGGCGGCCGGCGTCGGCGCCCGCGGCTGGATGCTCGCCTACCTCGTGCTGCTCTTCCTGCTGGTGTTCGTCACCACGTTCTTGTGGCGAGCGTCCGTCTACAACCGACCCGCGCCGTTCTAGGGCCGCCATGGCGGCCACGGCCGGGTTCGTGCAGACGGTGCTGGCCAGCGTGTGTCTGGAGACACGGCTGCCCAGCCTGCCTACCGTGCCGCCGCTGACCGCCACACGGCAGGGTGAGTGTGGGCTCAGCGAGCTGCCGAGGATGATGATCGGCTCCGCTGCCACAGCCAAACAGGTGAAACTTATTGCGCTTCTCCCCATCCGCACTTCACGTTGGTGAGGTTTTCCGCTCTTCAGGCGGGTTGTCAAGAATCTCCACTTCCATAACTTAACAGCAAACAAAGTGTTTGCGTCCTCTCTTCCCTTCCCGCGTTTAGCGTGGTCCGAACGTAACAGCCAACGCCGTCAATATGTGACTGTTGATGCCAGCCCGTGACGTGCCGATCAGCACTGTCACTCCTACCCGGCTGGTACCGCCACACGGCAACGGTCGACAACGCCGGGACGCAGCAAATGCTATCAAAATATTGATGATGTAATTGTTATTCCTGTAATGTTGTCGCCATTATGGCTTAATGTGAGTGTTCTAATGTAGGTGATGAAACGCTGCGTAAATGTTTTGGTGTAACGTTAATGCCAACAAGCGACAGCTAGTTTGTGAACGCTAACATTCGTGAATGCTAATGCAATGTGACCGCCAAAGACACCAGTCCACAACAATTCATAGCATCGTCGCGTAACTTCCGACGTTTTCACTGGCGAGACTGATACCAAAGTAGAAAACGATCGGCGCCAATTAGCTGTAAACGCCATCAGTCAAGTCAGCACCATAGGCAAAACCATTTAAAACCAGCATCATCACCCCTAATGATTAACACCACTGGACAGATGATCGCGATAATCGCGATGTCTTGATCATTGCATGCCAGTTGGAAGGTACGCAACGGTCGACGTCGCCTGTCCGTGACATTACTGAGTTCGTAACGGAGCCGGCACCGAAGGCTCGTCGCTGTGATGCCATTCGAGCGGTACGGTCAACTTCTACCCTTTATAGCCAACACCATAAGAACGTAACCGTCGACATGTGCTGCTCCTAGCTTTCAACACTCTTATTTCTTAACACTTGGCACCATTAGTCGGTTACGGTCAACACTGTTAGTCTTTAGCGGTCAGCACGACCAGCCATGGCTGTCGTCGTTGGTCCTAAACGGTCAACAGAACACCGCTGGTTCGAAGTGGTCAGCATGGTCAGCGTTAACTTCGCACGGCAGGCCAGCTTGACCCTCTGGCCTTCCTGGCCCATCACCAAACCGGTGCGTTCTACGCCCGTAAAATTCGACGTCTTTTCATGCATATTGGTCTGATCTACCTGACAAAATGGCCATGCCTTGCACAGCCCAGAGAGGGCTCGGGGTGGTGGGAGGCACGTCAGCACAAGTCGTGGTCGCCTCAGAGGACTGCACTGTCCAGATTACTTCCTATTACTGAGGGACGTCAAATGACCCGAATTGTTTTGAGTACGGTGAAATGACATCAGTAACGCAGCGGCCATGCCCATGACAGACTTTAAATTACCATTAACAGATGTGTAGGCCATGTCAGGAGGGCGATACCATGATGAATCGGCGCTGGTTGTGTGCTAAAATCAGTGTGTGGTGCTCATTACGAGGGAAGCCGCAGGCCGGGTGAGCCTGCTTGAGCTATATAAGTTTTCAACTTGAGCGGCCGAACCGGCCCGCACCGGCCGCTATGTCTTTTAGGGGTCAATAGCTCGCAACCCTGGCTGCAAGCTGATGCACCTCTCAGCAAAAAAAAAAAAACAACATCAAAATCTGTAACAGGTGTGTTACGTGAATTATCAGGCATTTGTAAACAAGGAGTCTGCGCTTGGGCCAATTTTTCCAGCAAGCTTGCAATGCCTCTACAATTGTACTTTCCCTACTGCATGAATGCGTGAAAGGATTCAATTTTAACACTGAAACGTGAAATACCAGGGCCTAAGCCGTGTCCAGATCTCGCTGATCCAATATCAAAGCATCCCATCGACACGAGGCTGATATATTCTGATGGAGGAGAAAACGGAAGATTCCATAGAGGACGCTGTGGGTCTATGTGTGTACAAGTTTACGCGTTTTCGTGCGCAAGCAATAAAATATCCTGTTTTGGTGGTAATTTTCAGAATTGGTGTCACATCTCAGCGACCACAGCACATGCAGATGTAAAGCTAACGTAACGGTGTATGTGAATGCACCGGCCACGACTCGATGATGGACCTGAAAAACTTCCCGGTCCGTGCATTGGCTAGTAAGCGACTGAGAGGTGGCAGGTGCCACCCACCTCTTCTGAAAACGATCTCGGATACAAAACACTGCAGCTCAAGTGCGCAGCCATAGCACACAAGGGAGGGGCACAGGGTTGACAGATAGTAAAAGGGTGTGATCCCCAACCCTGTGCCCCCCAGGGTTGACGAATAGTAGAGGGCCCTGACAGTAAAGGGCATACCATCAAACAGCAAGGAATCGCCGAATATGGTCCATCTGTTAACGAGGCCATGTTTTTACGTAAGTTGTTCAGTGCACTGGCGAGTAACATTAGTCACACAGATAAGACGGTAGTATAAGCCTTATTCTTCGGAGAACCATGGGATTGGAGATAACGTTAGGATGATATTTCGGCAAGATGCCTTCCTTGAAACAATAGCAGAAGTGAAGTCAAAATTGCCTGCCCATGATCCTATTAGATTTTTCAGGTTTTTTTGAAAGAGCAAGCCATAGTTTTTACAGGGCACCAACATTCAGGGGATTGTACAAACGCCGATTGCCAGCCATTACCAAGATACAGCTCCCGCCTATGGATTAGAATGCCCGGACATACGTGTACGTACAAACAAATTCAAGCAAATAGGCATCACGCATCACGCTTCATTCGGACATGCAAGCGAGTTCAAGTAAACAGGCATCACACATTGCGCACCAATTATTGCGCGATGTGTGATGCCTGCTTTCTTCAACTCGCTCGCATGTTCGAATAAAGCATGATGCGTGATGCTTATTTGCCTGAATTCTTCTGTATGTACACGTATGTCCGGGCATTCTAATTCTTAGACAGGCACTGTATCTTGGTAATGGCTGGCAATCGCTGCTGAATGTTGGTGTCCTGTGAAGATTGTGGCTTGCTCTTTCAAAAAAACCTGAAAAATCGAGTAGGATCATTGGCAGGCAATTTCAAGTCACTTCTGCTATTGTTTCGGGAAAGGCATGTTGCTAAAATATCAACCCAATTATGTTTCCATTCTCCTGTTTTTTCCCAGGAATAAGGCCAATACTACTGTCTTATCTAGGCCATGTTTTTCTTTAATATTTTCATGCTTACTTTCTCCAACTAAAAAAGAAGCTGAGAAGTACCACAGCTCATTTCTGCCTAAATGCATCAAAGAACTGCATGAAAAGATCGCTCTTAATTTTGCATTGGTTCCATGGACTTATTCTAGGCCGATGGGACTCAGAGGCTTTGTCAGAATCTTTATCTTAGTTTACAGAGATATGAGGGACCCTGCAAGCATGCATCGAAGTGGGTCAACAATATGTATTAGCATGGCCAAGTCATGTTTGTCTGAAAATTTTCAACATGCAGTCAGAGTTATTTAGTAACATGGATCATGTAACATAAAATTGCGAGAGTTGAACTCTCCAAAAATCATAAAAATGCCCAACTTTAGGCTAGTCTTTGAATTTTTCGATGTTCTCAATTGTTTACTAGTTAACAGATCTGTCCTTTTTCTATAAAACGTTGCCCTGCATAACCCCTTAGGGCCCTAGGTTGCCTATGTTGGTCCTAGCAAAATTAATCTGCAGGAATTCAGATAGCTCGTCCGATTATTTAGAGATCTTTTTTATTTGCCGCATCTGATTATGAAAAAGGCCGAGGCATGACCTCTTGTTGTGCACTGTGGGCTCCCAACCTACACAGGGGCGCAAACCACTATTTCGGCGACCCAGACCAATGTAAATCGTACCCCCGGTTTCGCTCCTGCTTGAAAAATGGGCCCCCAGGGTTCAGATTGACAGTGAACCAACTGTTCAATGTCCGTGATCTCTGGCCGACTCAGACACCGGCAATGTTTCAGAGGGTCATCAAACAGTGCAAGAGGACCTCTGACTGATATTCCAGGTCATGATCCTACAAGCCGCGATCCTTTGTGTGACCTACAGCCAGTCCTTCGGACCCTCATACCCTCCAACAGGGCCTTTGATACTCGGTTCCGGTGGGTCGCCCGGGCCCCTCTCCAGGCCTCATCGAACACTGGCCTTGGTCGGCCCAGAGCCTCTGCGGGCACAGGACCCTCTGTTAGGTGCTGTAGGCCCCGGACAGATGCAGAGGCCCCGACCAGTGTAAATAACTGGCCCCGGCTTTGCAGCTGATTGGGAAGTGGGCGCTCAGGCCCATTCCGATACGGAGCCGACTGCGCAGTACTGGTGGTGCCTGACCGACATATAGACCCATATCGACTCAGGGTGTCCCTGATCGGCGCCCAGAGCCCTCTGACTGTCATTTGAGAGGCGGTCGCGCAGGCAAAAGGGCTGGTCTCTAGGCCCTTGAATGAGACTCCGACCAGCCCTTCGTGTCTTCAGACCTTCCAATTAGCCCTTAATTGTCAGACTCTTATCCTTGGCTTATCCTGGTTGGACCCCCCGGGCTCTTAGGGCCTCCTCGAACACTACCGCTGGTCAATTTGGGGCCGCTCGCAAGCACAGGCGCCGTGGGGCCCCGAGCAACGCAAATCGCTAGCTCCAGCTTTGTCATTGCTTAAGAAATGGGCCCTCAGCCCCATGCCGCCACGGAACCGACTGTGCATTACTGCTGGTGTCTAACCGATATATAGGCCCTTATCGATTCAGGGGCTTTATATAAGCGCGCAGGGCCCTCTGACTAGCATTGGAGTGCCCGGCCCAGCCTGCCGGGGCCCGAGCTCCGGCCGGTGCTTTGGGCCCTTCGAGCATTCAAATTGGGCCCCTAATCGTAGATCCCGAGTGGCTGCTCGGAGCCTAAGGGGAAAGGGGTACGTGCTCCCTGTGCCCCCCCCCCCCCCCCTGCCTGCGCTACTGCTGCAGCCTAAACCAAGGAAGGTTGGGCCATGGAAAATACACAGGCGTAGTGTGCTGTTCAATTCGAC